TGAGGGACACAGAATTGTTACTCAGGGACAGACACAGAATTGTTACTGAGGGGACACAGAATTGTTACTGAGGGACACAGAATTGTTACTCAGGGACAGACACAGAATTGTTACTCAGGGACAGACACAGAATTGTTACTGAGGGACACAGAATTGTTACTGAGAGACACAGAACTGTTACTCAGGGACAGACACAGAATTGTTACTCAGGGACAGACACAGAATTGTTACTCAGGGACAGACACAGAATTGTTACTGAGGGACACAGAATTGTTACTGAGGGACACACAGAATTGTTACTGAGGGACAGACACAGAATTGTTACTCAGGGACAGACACAGAATTGTTACTGAGGGACACAGAATTGTTACTGAGGGACACAGAATTGAGGGACACAGAAGAATTGTTACTGAGGGACACAGAATTGTTACTCAGGGACAGACACAGAATTGTTACTGAGGGACACACAGAATTGTTACTGAGGGACACAGAATTGTTACTGAGGGACACAGAATTGTTACTCAGGGACAGACACAGAATTGTTACTCAGGGACAGACACAGAATTGTTACTCAGGGACAGACACAGAATTGTTACTGAGGGACACAGAATTGTTACTGAGGGACACAGAATTGTTACTCAGGGACAGACACAGAATTGTTACTCAGGGACAGACACAGAATTGTTACTCAGGGACAGACACAGAATTGTTACTGAGGGACACAGAATTGTTACTGAGGGACACACAGAATTGTTACTCAGGGACAGACACAGAATTGTTACTCAGGGACACAGAATTGTTACTGAGGGACACAGAATTGTTACTGAGGGACACAGAATTGTTACTGAGGGACAGACACAGAATTGTTACTCAGGGACAGACACAGAATTGTTACTGAGGGACACAGAATTGTTACTGAGGGACACAGAATTGTTACTGAGGGACACAGAATTGTTACTCAGGGACAGACACAGAATTGTTACTCAGGGGACACAGAATTGTTACTGAGGGACACAGAATTGTTACTGAGGGACACAGAATTGTTACTCAGGGACAGACACAGAATTGTTACTCAGGGACAGACACAGAATTGTTACTCAGGTTACAGACACAGAATTGTTACTGAGGGACACAGAATTGTTACTCAGGACAGACACAGAATTGTTACTCAGGGACAGACACAGAATTGTTACTCAGGGACAGACACAGAATTGTTACTCAGGGACAGACACAGAATTGTTACTCAGGGACAGACACAGAATTGTTACTCAGGGACAGACACAGAATTGTTACTCAGGGACAGACACAGAATTGTTACTGAGGGACACAGAATTGTTACTCAGGGACAGACACAGAATTGTACTGAGGGACCCAGAATTGTTACTGAGGGACCCAGAATTGTTACTGAGGGACACAGAATTGTTACTGAGGGACACAGAATTGTTACTCAGGGACACAGAATTGTTACTCAGGGACAGACACAGAATTGTTACTCAGGGACACAGAATTGTTACTCAGGGACACAGAATCGTTGAATTAAAGAGTATGTCAGACAACATGCAGAGGAGTGGCAGAGGAGGCAATGTTTTAGGAGTGAGCAGACGTGGCAGCAGCAGAGGAAGGGGTCGAGGCAGCACTAGTCGCAGCCAGAGGCCAGTGCTCCCGGTGTCATCCAGCGGTCGTGTCTCCACCGACAACCCTGCCGTCATCGATTGGTTGGCTCGGTCGTCTTCCTCTTCCCAGGTCACCTCTGACACCTACAGCCAACGGTCGGTGGGTACGTCAGACACAACCGTTAGTTGGCATGGCCCGGGAGCAAGCCCACTGAAATCACGTGTCCCCTACCTGCCCCTGTCCTTTGGTGTTCCCTCACCAAGCGAAGTATCGCATGCTGTGGGCTCAGCCCCACTGTACAGTGAGGAAGAGCTAACAGAGGGCGGTCAGGAACGGGGGGAGACATCCGCCTCTTCAGCAGCCAGGCGAAGAAGTACTGGCGAGGAGAGTGGCTCGGTAGCCGGTCTAGAGACAGGTCTGTCTCCTGACCCACACGCAGCCGAGGGGGCTAGTAGTGAGGCGGAGACCCTAATTGATGATGATGAGGCTGATCGCACTTGGCAGCCTCGTCGTCATCAGGCTATTGCTTCTGCATCATCAGGAGAAGAGGGTGCCAGCTTGGCAGCGAGCAAAACAGTCGGTGGGTTGCCCAGGAGGCAGCAGGGTCGCAGCAGTGTCAGTGGAGGCAAACGGCCACGGAGTAGAGCACCAGCTCCACTGCAGCCTACCACCACGGCCAGTAGTGGTGCCGGTGTGCACGGAGGAAGTAGCAGTCAGCCAGTGAGGAGTATCGGGGGCAAAGTTTCCTACTCGGCGGTGTGGCAATTTTTCGTCAAGCCGCCCAAGGAAGTAAACGTAGCCGTATGTCGACTATGTGGCCAGAAAGTCAAGCGTGGCCAGGGGGCCCATGTTGGGACTACAGCGTTGCGTCAGCATATGCAGCGTCGCCATTTGGTGGCCTGGGAAAACCGTGATAAAGATACGGCGGTTCTGCCTGCCCCAGCCCCCGCTCCATCACCCGCTCCGTTACTTGCTCCGTCACCCGACGTCAATCGCCCTCTATCAGCCAGTCAAGGCTCCAACACCTCTGCTGAGGGGAGTTGTCGCTCGTTGGCATCTTCCGCTCGTTCAGATGCTCCTTCTCCTGCTACTCCTCTTCACGGATTCCGTCAGCAGTCTTTCTTGGAATCCGTTTCCAAGAGACAACAGTTTGCGAGCACGCACCCGACGGTGCAAAAGCTGAACGTCCCCTCCTGTCCACTGTTGCTGGTGCTGCAGTCCCCTCCCTTTCCAAGTGGTGGACTCAGCACCTTTCCGAGAAATGATGGCTTGTGCCGCGCCGCGGTGGAGAGTGCCAAGCCGGCATTTCTTCGCCAAAAAGGCAGTGCCAGCCCTGCATTCACATGTAGAAGAGATGGTGGGCCAGTCTTTGAGCATGTCGGTCTCTGCAAAGTGCACGGCAGCGCCGACGTGTGGAGCTGTAACTACGGTCAGGGACAGTACATGTCATTTACGGCCCACTGGGTGAACGTGGTGCCGGCACAGCCGCACCAGCAACTTGGACAGGTCACGCCGCTTTTGCCTCCACGTTTGCACGTCCTTGGTCCAGCAAAAGATGTCCGCCTCTACCACCTCTTCTTCCGCCGTGTCCTCAGCCGCCACCCCCGTGCCAAGTCCCATTACCCGACCGGCATATCACATGTGCAGGGCGCAACGGTGTCACGCTGTGCTGCACCTGGTATGCCTTGGCGAACGTAGTCACACAGGGGAGGAACTTCTGAGTGTAATGAACAGAGAAATCGACAGATGGCTGTCTCCGCGCAAACTGAAAATCGGAACCATGTTGACCGACAACGGAAAGAACATGGTGTCTGCTCTGCGTCAAGGAAGGTTGTGCCATGCGCCATGCATGGCTCACGTGTTCAATCTGGTTGTCAAGCGGTTCCTAAAATCCACCATCCCACTGCAAGACATCCTTAAAATGTCACGTAAACTTTGCATGCATTTCAGCCATTCCTACGCCGCAAAGCACACCCTCCTTGAGCTGCAGCGGCAGAACGGAATTCCACAGCATCGCCTGATCTGCGACGTTGCAACAAGGTGGAATTCAACCCTACACATGTTAGACCGCCTTTACGAACAGCGAAAGGCCATCACCGATTTCCTGATGTTACAAGCGGATAAAGGTACTCCCCTGTGTAACTTAGATGTCAGCCATTGGCAGCTCATGCGTGACACCTGCCGCTTGCTCAGGCCCTTTGAGGAGGCCACGCTATTCGTGAGTCGGCAGGACTATGGGATGAACGACGTCATTCCTCTGTTGCACGTCCTGGAACAAATGCTGTTAACAATGGCTGGTCAGGGTGCGGTAGACGTGGCGCACAGATCTCAACGCCACATGACCCCTGTGGGGGCAGGACAGGAAGAAGAGGAGGAGGTAGAGGAGGACATTGGTGCTCAGGAATTATTGAGTGAAATGGGTGGTTTTTCCACTCAGCGGACAGGAGTGGAGGAGCAGGAGCATCTGGTAGAGGAGGAGGAGGAGGAGACAGAGGACCCAGACGCACCGTGGCAGTATGCTGTGGAGATGGAGGCAGGGAGTCCCTCGCATTCCTTGGCACAAATGGCCCATAGCATGCTCGGTTGCTTGCGTAGCGACAGGACAGCCGAATAATAACCATCAGACAGAGGGATGACTTTTGGCTGTCCACCTTGTTGGACCCTCGCTACCGTTTAAAAATGGTGGCCTTTTTCACACCTGCTGAGAGGGAGGCCAAAATAACGTACTATAAAAACCACCTATGTAGTCAGTTGGTCTCTGCCTTTCTGCGCCAACGTCCATCCTCAGACACTGTGGGCCCTGTGCGCTCGCGTTCCGCTGCCATGGCAGCAGGGGAGGGGGGGGGTGGTAGGAGCAGTGGCAGCTCCACCAGCAGCGGCTGCCTCAGTCTGCAGTCGATGATGAGTAGCTTTCTTCACCAGCGCAGTGAGGAAACTACTAACCAGCCGCAGCAGCAGCAGCATCAGGTGGACCTGGAGCAGGACCTCAAACAACAGGCTTGGGCCTACTTGGACAGCACCCTGCCAACCGAGGTAGACAATCCCCTTGACTACTGGGCAACGAAACTTGACCTTTGGCCCCAACTAGCTGAATTTGCCCTTGAAAGGCTGTCATGCCCGGCCAGTAGCGTGGCATCGGAGCGCGTGTTTAGTGCGGCAGGAGGTATTGTAACTCCGCGGAGGACACGACTGTCCACCCAAAGTGTGGAGAGACTCACGTTTGTGAAAATGAATCAGGCGTGGATTAGTCTGGATTTCAAACCACCAGTTCCTGACACAACTGACTAAATCCGCCATGAATCATGCCCCAAACATGTGCCACTTTCAGGTCTCCTCACACTGCTGGTGTGTTCCATTTTTTGTCATAGGGTGCTGGCAGATTACGGGCCTCCCATTGCTGCTGCCAGGCCCGTAATCTGCCATGGGCCCCCGTACCGCCTCCTCATGCTGCTGCCAGGTCCAGAGTGTGTCATGGGTCCCTGTATGGCCTCCCATTGCTGCTGTCTCCATCGCCACACTCTGCCATGTGCCACTTTCAGGTCTCCTCACACTGCTGGTGTGTTCCATTTTGTCATAGGGTGCTGGCAGATTACGGGCCTCCCATTGCTGCTGCCAGGCCCGTAATCTGCCATGGGCCCCTGTACCGCCTCCTAATGCTGCTGCCAGGTCCAGAGTGTGTCATGGGTCCCTGTACGGCCTCCCATTGCTGCTGTCTCCATCGCCACACTCTGCCATGTGCCACTTTCAGGTCTCCTCACACTGCTGGTGGGTTCCATTTTTGTCATAGGGTGCTGTATGGCCTCCCATTGCTGCTGCCTCCACCGCCACACTGTGGCTCCACACTCTGGTTTTGGCCCCGTGACTGCCCAAATGAGTGAAGTGTGCGGTGATTCTAAGATCGACGGCACTCATCTGCATGTCATACTGACTGACAGTATTAGTTCTCTTCCCCAGCAGACTCCAAGGGCATTTAAATTAAAGGTACAATGTTCTGCACTAATATGAAGGCTCTCTGAAGCCTAGAAACACCCTTTTATAAGTTAAATTCGCAGCGAATATATTCGCATCGAATCAAAATTTATTCCTCGAATTCGCGAATCAGCCGAATCGAATTTTTGAATACTTCGCTCATCTCTAGACAAAACCATCAAAGCCTACAATATAATCATAAAATAGGTCTTTTTGCAGATTATATCATAATTATTACTGAACTGACTCCTTCCTTTTTTTTTTATTTAAATTTGTATTTCTTTTAATCATTATACAAAACAATATAAAAAAAAAAATTACACCTCATAAAGATGCATTTCCTATTATATTTCTATCCCTCACCCACCCCAACCCCAACCCACAATCTCCCACTACCCCCCCTCCCCTTCTTACTTTCATATCTATCTGTATCAGGAAATATTCCCTCATTAGACCAATGTAACTTCTTTAAGACTACCAAGTCTTCTGTAATACCCCCTTCACTCCAATTAATTCTACATAATTTTCCGAGGTCTTAAATTTCATCCAGCTACTCCACGATTTCCTGAACACCTCCATTTTATCTTCCTCTATACATCTCAATTCCTCCATTTGAACAATACCCTCCACTCTGTCTATCCAATCCATAATCTTTGGAACTTCCTTCACCTGCCAATACTTGGGGATCAAACTCTTTGCCGCACTTATCAAATGATACAAACATTTTTACGTAGTTCTGAAGCAGGCTCAAAATGATAGGATAGATTTTTCAGCGGGTCTCCCTGAATATCTACCCCACATATGTCTTGGGTATATCATGCTATTTCCTTCCAGTAACACTTCAATTTCGGGCAACTCCACCATGTATGCTCCATGCTACCCCTTTCACCACAACCTCTCCAGCACCAGGGGGAGCTCTCCGCTTGCCACACTTGGGGCTATATACCATCTCGCTAAACATTTGTAATTCATTTCAACCGTACGCATGTTTTGTTGCCATATGTGTTGTATTAAAAATATTTTTCCTTTGCTGCGGGTTCAGTTCTACTCCCAGTTCCTTCTCCCATTTGCTTACATACCCAGGGGGATCTATTCCGTCTAGGCCCATGAGAATCTTGTATATCCTTGAGGTGATATTTTTTGGGGTTCCAGCCCCATTCATTAATTTTTCCAGATGATTAATTTCCTCCAATGACCTCATTGGTTGTGGTAAAATTGCAACAAAATGATATAACTGGTATACCTCCATTCATCCAGCCTAATAAATAAATCTCTTTTTTTTATATAATTGAAATGTGCTTATTTTACCCCCTTTTACAATATCTTTCAAACGTGCATTCTTATCTTTATCCATTTCCCCCCTATTTTAACATTTCCCAGTGCGAAAAATTCTGTACCCTCTAATGGAATCAACAGTGAATTATATTTCCATTTTTTCCTTACTGTGTATTCTATCCCACGTGTCCAATACAATCCTAGTCAACTTACTCGTGCCTACATCTAGTGTTCGGAACCTATGAGGTATCCATATCATCTTCTGTAGTTGTGATTTACTTAGTTCCTTTTCTATTTTTACCCAGTTTTTCCTTTGTGTATTAAAAGACCAATCCACTACTCGTGATAGCATTACTGCTGTGTAATAATTCTTCACTTTAGGTAATCCCAGTCCTCCATTCTCCTTTGCTCTACATAACACCTCATAACTTATTCAAGGTCTCTTATTTGCCCAAATGAATTTAGTAATCATCTTTCTAATTATGGTAAAGAAAGCTCCTGGGAGGGCAATCGGGAGAATTTGAAATGTATACAAATTTTTTGGGAGTATCACCATTTTAAGTTTTTTCGTCCAATCCATGACGCCCCACCTTTTGCTAACCTTTTTAACTCCTCCTTTTATTGCATTTATAAGGGAATGTAATCTGCTTGATATAGTTTATTTACTGAGGTGTTTAATTTTTACTCCGAGGTATTCAATTTCATTTTGCCTCCAGGTAAATGAAAATGCTTTTTGTAAGTTTTTCTTGTCTTTCACTGAAAGATTAATATTTAAGATTTCTGATTTCACTGGATTTATCTTCAAATTTGATGTCACCCCATATTGTTTTAATTCTTTCATTAGATTTGGTAATGTTATTGTAGGATTAGTGACATAGAACAACATATCGTCTGCATGCGCAGCGACATTATGTTCTAAATCTCCTACTTTTATCCCTCTTATATCATCACATTTTCTAATCCTTTCCAGGAATGGCTCCAAGGACAGCGCAAACAAAAGGGCGGAAAGGGGACATACCTGCCTTGATCCGTTATACATTTCTAAAGAATTGTGAAAAAGATCCATTTACCTTTACCAATGCAGATGGCCCCTGGTATAAACCCTTAATCCAGTTCAACATCTTAATTCCCAATCCCATCTTTTCCAATGTATCGAACATAAAGTCCCAATTTTACCCTGTCGAAGGCTTTTTCAGCGTCAATCGACAATAATATTACAGGAGTCTTTTACTTTTTAACTTTTTGAACCAATATTAAAGATCTCAGACCGTTGTCCCTGCCCTCTCTTCCTGCAACAAAACCCACCTGATCCATATGTACCCATTCTGGCATCAGGTCCCTCAGCCTTGTTGCCAAAACTTTTGCGTATGATATAGTATCTGCATTCAACAGCGATATTGGCCTATAACTTGCACACTGCGAACTATCTTTCCCTTCCTTCAAAAATAAGCACGCTATATACTTGTAACGATTCTTTCCTCATTTCCAATCCCTCACCTATTGCGTTCATATAGTGACACATTTTAGTTACAAGCATATCCCTGAATTTTTTCAGATATCTTACAGTATACCCATAAGGTCCTGGGCTTTTGTCTAGTGCCGAGTTTTTTAAGGCTAGATTAATCTCGTCTGTGGTGATAGGGCTTTCTAGTTTCTCCAGTTTATTCCTGTGCTAGTCGGAGCAGTTCTACTCCTCTAAGGTAAATCTGTCTTCTTTCCCTCTTCTCCTCCTCATTTTCCCCATGATTCCTCCCCCTTACATCATACAATTCACTATAATAATCATGGAACCTCCTGGCAATATCTGATGTTTTATACTTATTTTCCCCCTTTCCCATCCCTGATTTTTTTTTTTTAAAGTTCCTTGATTTCTTGTTCCTGAGTCTTCTCATTAGATATTTTCCTGGTCTATTCCCCCATTGATATCTTTTTTTGGCGACGTTATTATATATCCTCCTGGTATCCTGTTCCATCAATTCTTTCAGCTCATCTCTTTTTGTTATTATCTCCTGGTATTTATCTATACCCCTCTTTATTTTATGCATATGTTCCAATTTTATATAGTTCTTCTATAACCTGTTTTGTTTTTTTACCCTTCTTTTCTTCTTCTTTTCTATTCCTATGGGGATCAATAAGCCTTATGTGTTTCCCAAACTGTGGCTTCAGACATTCCCTCAGTCTCATTTATTTCAAAGAACTGTGCAATATCCCGTCTTAACCTCTTCTCTACTTCAGGGTTCTGCAAAAGCGATTCATTCAGTTTCCAACTGACTCCTTCCTAATGTGGGTTGTCCTGTTATAGAATTAACAAATCAACATTGTAGATCTTAAATATTGGCATACCCCCAGAGATACATACACACTTACAGAAACAATTCCATTATTCTTGTTATTATCCATTCCTAACACTAACCACTAAGGGACCGCCCACAGTACATATACTGCTGCAAAGCGCCCCTGTGCGCAGGATCACGTTTATAAACGACATCTTGTTTACGGGGTAGGCACCGTCGCACCGATCGTGGCCGCAGGTGTCAATCACCTGGTCATGGCCGGTGATTACCCGCTGGATCCCGGTGATTGTCGGCAAACACTGACAAATACAGTGTCAGTGCTTTTTGTTTGCACTGATCATTGTATTGGTGTCACTCGGGATGTCAGTGACCAAGTAAGTTCCCTCCAGAGTCAGAATGTCTGCCGCAGTCCCATCATAATAAGTCGCTGATTGCTGCCATAAGTTACCGATTGCCACCAAAAGTCACTGATTGCCGCTATTATTAGTATTAAAAAAATCCAGTATATATAGCGCCATTTGTAAACGCTATAACTTTCACGTAAACCAAATAATTTACACGTATTGGGATTTTATTTAGCAAAGACATGTCGCAGAATACATTTTGGCCTAAATTTATGACTGAATTTAATTTTTAAATTTTTTCACTGGACATGTTTTATAGTAAAAAGTCCAAAATATTGTTTTTTTTTTCTTCAAAATTGTCGGTCTTTTTTTTCAGTGTCAGAATGTCTGCCGTAGTTCTGCAGTACCACTATAAGACGTTGATCACCGCCATTACTAGTAAAAAAAGAAAAAAAACCAGTGTATATATATACCGCCATTTGTAAACGCTATAACTTTCACAAAAACCAATTAATTTCCAAGTATTGGGATTTTTTTTTAGCAGACATGTAGCAGAATACATTTTGGCCTATATTTATGATGAAATTTGATGTTTTACATTTTTTTACCGGACATGCTTACTAGCAATACGTCAAAAATATTGTTTTTTCTCAAAATTGTATGTCTTTTTTTTTTTCTAGTGCAAAAAAAAAAAAAACGCACAGGCGATCAAATACCACCAAAAGAAAGCTCAATTCGTGGGGAAAAAAGGACATAAATTTCATTTTGGTGCAGCATTGCATGACCACGCAATTGTCAGTTAAAGTAATGCAGTGCCGTAACACAAACCGCTTCTGTAACCGTTTCCTGACCACCCTATAGCAGAAATACTACTACAGAACGGCACGGGTGCACAAAATCACATATACAGTATATACTAGATTCACGCTCCTGTGGTTTTCACGCCCCTCCCAGATGGCGTCAGATTGCCCGTCAGTACACCAATAATCACATTTTAAACCCTTGATTGCCAGGAAGACGCTCATACACAATAAACCTCCATTGCTAGTACAGTGTCTGAACGGATCAATATCTTTGATCAGATCGGCACTATACCAGCGTTCAGATTAGTATAGCATCCCCA